CTAGCAGACACTGCGCAGAACATCAACGTTCTCTTCTCTGATTGGTCCGGCTAAAAATCTGCCAGCGAAATCCTTGTCTGAGAGAAGTCCCAGACGGAGCAGAAAAGGGAAACTAGAATTGAGCGGAACTGTGTAGGAAGGCAAGGGCCAGGCTAATCTGACCCTAAACCTAGCCTAAACTTTACATAGGATGTGAACTGGGCTTATGTCCCCATAAGAAACAGTGGGTCCTCACCAGGCTGTGTAGTTTGCTTCATCTCTAAAGACATGCTGCTCTTTAATATTGTTTATTTACTGTCTTAGTTGTGTGTGGTGTTTAATTTACATTTGTTGTTCTTTGTTGTTTTTTTTAATTCAAGTGCATTTTTTGTTAGAGACTGAGAGTCCACTTTGTTAAACATTCTTTAAAAATTAAAGTTTATTGATTTATTACACTTACATATTATGCTTTTATAATTGTTAGTTGTAAAATGGTCACCAGGCAATATTATCGCTTATCGCAATAATTTGTGAGACAATTAATCGCCCAGCAAAATTTGTTATCATGACAGGCCTACTCTACACATTGCTTAGGATCTTTGTCTAAAACTTTGGCATAAAGTGTAAAAAATGTGTTTTTCCCTGAACATGTTTTTAATCATTTGTTTAGGCTCTACAGTGTGAACTTTTTGCTACATCACATTTTAAACCATCAGGCAGTGAAGGCTTCTCACCTTTAGCGTTAATCTTCTCACTGAGCAGTTTGAAACAACGTGTAAGTTAATTTCCCCTGACAGGTGTCAGGACTGGGGAACTGAAAGCTTCTTTCAGCCTCTAATCCTACTTACAAGACAGGTTTGATGCTCAGAGCAAGTTTCAGAGTGGAACCTGTTTTTATCATTCAACAACTAAATTATTCACCCTGTCACACAGGAAAACCTTTCATAATATTTTTCATCTCAGCGGAGCGTCGGCAGGGAGGAACTGAAGGAATGTTTGCAGACATTCATCATCTACTGATGTCTCTGTGCTGCTGCCCCCCCATCCCCCCCACCTGAAGCCCCCTCAGTGTACACTCGTGGGTTATCTTTTATATAATGAATCTTGTCATCAGACATCTGCAGAAAACTTGATAAAAAAAGGCCTGGCATTGGAGGAATGCATATTGCCTGGTTTTAACCAGTTTTTAAAAACTAAATTCATTGTGCACAGACTCATTACAGCTGTGCTCAAAGTATGTGTTGGGAATAACTTTCAGCTACTACCACATTAAATTGTAGCATGATAGCCGTAACATTGACCGGTGGTCTGGCATCAAGACAAGACAAACAGAGAATCTGTGTCGTACCTTTACAGGACTTCTATTAAACTTCAGGTAAAAAAAAAAAAGGAAAGTGACACAGATATGATGAGAGTTTAAGCTTCATTTAAGTTGATGTCATTCTGTCAGACCATGATGAATGAACTGCTTTTATTTATGTCGTCCACTGTTTTTACAGCTGTTACAGTTTCATATAGTCCTGTCCTGTCTGTCCTCCTACCACCGTCCTGATGAGCTGAAGTTCGGCTCGGTCAGTGCATCACTGTGGCCGAACAGCAGCTTAAAAACCCGTGAATCCCCAGCTGAAAGTGTGCACACTCACAGACTGTCGGGGCAGAACTCAGGCTGCAGCAGCCTCCTCCCCTGCAGCAGGAACACGGTGATGTCGAAGGAGTTCACGTCTGAGTATGGGGGGGCTCCTCGGGTCATCAGTTCCCACAGCAACACGCCGAAGGACCACTGTGGAGGGGATCAAATAATCCTCTTGTGTAACACGTTTACTTTTACAGTTTAAAAGTACAAACAGTAATGACACAACAATAAAGAGAAAGTGCACCTTCGTTCAAAGCTAAAGTTTTGCTTTTAAATGAACATGATGACAGTATCAGGTGGAAAACCAACATCATGCCATCATTTATTTAACTAAACCTGAGATGAAATTAAGAAGCAGTCAAACAAAATCTGTTCTGTAAATTATTGTTGTCTAAAAAGTTAATTTATTTCAGTAATTTTATTTAAAAAGTGAAACTCAGTTGTTAAATAGATAACTGGTACTTCAACTTAAAAAAGAACTAAGCTCTCCAATACCACCTGTTACAACAGATATAATAAAAGCAGTATATATA